TACTTTGCTTTTTTAAGAACTATAGTGTAAAGATAAAAATAAAGATAAAAGAGAACAGAACATAAATGTAATGTAGAACGATAAGGGTAAAGGTGAATTTTAGTTAAAACATTTTAGCCGTTTTTAGCTGCTTTTTTTGGCCAACATAGACGGTCGGCCCAAAAAGTTCTGGCAACACTGTCTGCATCAAAAATAAAATTTTGAAACAAATTTCGCTTACGTCTTGTTTGTGGTAAGGGCTCGATATATATTCCAATTTATCGAATCGCTTCGACTGTCGTTCGCCGACAATCATCAGTATGGCAACACTGTTTCATTGAAAACAAATAAACAGCCAGTGTTGCCAACTTTTGATTTTCAAAAAGCACCAAAAACTTGTAAAAAGGCGTTTTACCATACTAAAAGCACATTTTTTTTTAATCAAATGATGTTTTTTTCATAACAGTTTGTATTTAACATAAGCAAAAAATTAACAATATTTACAAGAATATATACATAAATCAATACACAAAACGTTTTCGCTCATAACGATTGAAAAGCCTCTACACATGCTATGATGACTCATGCTTACGACGTAATACCGAAGTACTATTAAAACTACTATATCTCGAGAAAGAAAAATCGAATCGCAACACACGAAAATAATGCCCTAAGTAGAAACGAGCAAAAGATTTTATGTTTACATTATATAACCTCAAATATCGCAAAAACCCGTGTTTTTGGCAATCTGGGGGTAGGATACCTAGTACTAGAGCAATTGTGCGGCCAGATTTGTATTCAGCACCAAGAAACGATGTGTTTTACTCAGGTGGTAAAAAAATCAAAATTTTTACAAACAATTAGAAAAGAAAAAAGAAATACTTAACTTACCTGCGTACTAGCATTTTCAACGCGACTAGAATTCAACAAGATGGGTTTGCAACTTCAGCTTTTTATCAATTATGGTCGTATTTTAGTGCACTTAAATTTGTATATTCTTGTAAATTCCGCATCTTCATGAGACACCGCAGCTTATAATATCTCAAAGTATTTCAGGTACCTCGGAGTAATATTAGTTCAAAAAAAGCACTAAAAAGGCACTAGGCACTAAGTAATTTTCAAAAAGCACTAAATCTAGTGCTTAAAGCACGAAGATGGCAACTATGTAAACAGCTGATTGTCGCATTGTAGTCACGCAGCGCTATTTAGCTATTTTGTTTTCTGAAAATTAAATAAAAGCACAGTCTAACTACACATAATTTAGCAACTATGCTGGGGAAAAAAAATTCTAAAACAAAAACTGTATCTGATAAAATTTCAGAATTGGTGGCGCGCAATGCCAACGGAGAGGAAGACAGCAGCGACGAAATAGGCGAAGAACCACGTGTGGAGGAGGAATTTGATGAGTACGACCTGCCCGATGCACGCACCTCAGATATCCGGAAACGAAATGTAAAGTTGTTATCAGAGCAAAGTGTGCGTTACCGGGGGAAAATATCATCACGTAATGAATTGGAGGAAGAACAGGATAGTGATTCGTTTGAAGGTGAAGAGCAGGAAGATGATGATGATTCCACAGAAGACGATGATGAAGGTGTGTTAAACGCATTCACGAAAAAATTAAGTGGGGCTGCTGATAAAGCGGTTAACAGAAATGAGGATGGTAGTGACGACGATTTGGAGCACAGCTCAACACAGTCAAATAGTGACAGTGAAGATAAGGGTTTAAGTGATGATGAGGATGATGAAGATGAAGATGAGGGAGATCAAGAAGGCGAGGATGGTGATGATGATGGCATCGAAAGTGAGGATGAGGCTAGTGAAGAGGAGAATGCGGATGGAACCCGTATAATCGCTGAAACAAACCGTCAAGCCGAGGTGCAAAAAGGGCAATGTGTGCAAAATCAACTACAAATTTGGGAACGTTTGCTTGAAATTCGTATTAACACACAAAAAGTGCTTAGTAAATGCAATCAGCTCCCGGCACCTAATGAACTTAAAACATTGCAGGATCAGAATGAAAAACTGGCAAATGTATCAAGTGAATCTGTGACCAGAGTCAGTAAGTTGCTTAGCACTTTATTGCAATTACAAAAGGCATGCCGTAAACAATTCTCGGAGCAACGCAATGCATTAAAAACAACTTTAAAGCGTTCAGTACCCATACAAAATGTAGATAATGATATCCCTATACCGCTAAAGCGTTTCGCTGATTACACCCACGCACATTTCGAAGAATTCAAACCCTACCGCAATGCAGTGTTGCTTAAATGGGATGATCGTACCAAATTGCTGACGCCGGGTGCTGGTGCCAAGAAGAAATCGCTAACAGAAGATTATGATATTATAAAGAAAATTGAAAATACTTTGCAGAGTCGCTCTATGCTTATAGAAAAATCGCGAACATTACAGAATGGCGCAAATGCTAAAACGCAAAATGATGGTGAGGAAAATGATGTTGTGGAAAATACGCAAAATATCAGAAGGAATACGGAGTCATATGACGATAGCGACTTCTACCATCAGCAACTGCGTGAGCTTATCGAGTACAAAACGAATGCATCAGTGAGCGCGAGCGAGGTCACGCAACAGTACATGGAGCTGCAAAAACTGCGACAAAAAATGAAGAAAAAGGTTGATACGCGGGCGAGTAAGGGGCGAAAGCTGCGGTAAGTGTTTAAAAAACAAATGGAAGTTTAGATAATATTTATTATTTACATAATTCTTTCCAGTTATACGGTGCATAAGAAACTAATAAATTTTATGGCACCCGATGATACATCAACGTGGACAGAGGAATCGAAAGATGAATTGTATAGATCATTATTTGCAGCTTAAGTGTATTTACTATAATGAAGAAAGTTTTTAGATTAAATAAAATCGACTGTGTCCGTAAGAAGTTTTAGGTTTCATTTATATTTTCATTTATTGTTTAGTTCTTTTCCGTTATTTATTTAATAAACGTTCTTGATACGTCAAGTATGTACACATGCGCACAACTTAATTTTATACTTTATACATACATATCTGTGGCATTTCGATAAGCTGAAAATCGACATGTAAGAAAGTTTAAGTTCAGGCGGAGCCGAACATTAAATACCCGGCGCAAGTATTAAATATATGTTTTCCACCTTTCGGAAAGCTACCGCTACATGATAAGCCGGGGTGTATAAATTTTAAGTAAATTAGCGTCCTTAAATTTCGAAGTATTGAAATTTCAAGCATTTCTGAAATTTACCGATATATGAAAAGCGGCCGTAATTTTAGTCCGATTTCAATAATTTTCAACGTTTTGCTTTTATGTGGCAAGCACAATAAAAATACCGTGTTTGGTATAAATTGGTAGAACGGTTACCGATATACATATATGTGATCATAAGTGAGCGGTGCCACGCCCATTTTCCAAAATTTTACCATAAACGTATTTCATTCATTTGTTATGCTATACCAATCCCAACAACTGTGCCAAGTTTGGATGAAATCGGTGCAGCGGTTGCCAAGATATACACATGTAACCATAAGTGGGCGTGGCTACGCCCATTTTCCAAAAATTTATATTCTTATTTTTCGTCTAAAAATTGTTGCAAATATCAATTTTGAGTGAATAATCTTCAGCAGTTACTAAAATATCGCAGTTTTCGTAATTCCGAAAATTACCGTTATATGGGATGTGGGCGTGGTTACAGTCCGATTTTGACCATTTTCAATACCAACCTACCTTGGATTAACGGAAACCTACACACCAAATTTCGTTGATATCTCAATTATTGCTCGAGTTATCGTGTACACGGATGGACAGACGGACGGACAGACAGACATGGCTTAATCGATTTCTCTATTCATTCTGAGCATTTATGTATACATTTGTCTATATCTATCTCGATTCGTTTTGGCTGTTACAAACAACCGTTATGTGAACAAAATTAATATACCCGTGTGCACAAGTGCGCTCGGGTATAAAAATTGCATATATTTGCAAAGTCGCAAATGCCTCCTCATTGTCACCTGAACCTCGCCGCTAATGAAAGTAAGAGAGGGAAGTTGTGCAGCCTTACCCACCGAAGAATGCAATCAATATATCGTTAGTATAGTATGGAAAATTTAGTTGTGGCTCTTTTGCATTACAGCGACGATATGAGATACTCCCTTTCCATACTATACGAACGATATGTAAATTGCCGGCTAAAATAGCTCGCGTCATCGCCGGGATATAACTGTCCAAACCAAAGCTGACATCAATCCTTATCAGCACCAGCTTAGGAATAAACTAAGAAAGAAACCAAAAGTTTACTGTTGTTGTTGTTGTAGTAGCGCATACAAATTCCCCAAAGGGTTTTTGGGGAGTGTTGCTGGAGTGACAGTCCTTGGCCAGATATAAATCTGGGTCGTTCCGGTTACGTAGACCCGTAAATTACGTAAATTTTACTCACTTCTTCTGCTGTTGCTTCGGATTCATTTCCCCTCTTTTCCGAACTCCCACAACATTTCTGGTATTTTTTTCTTTCATAAATAAAAGGCACACTAGTATTTAGTAGGTATCATTGTATGTATGTATTGTATATTCTTTTATTAAATTTAATATAGTTATTTTATATTTAGATGGTATGTATGATTTGCGCATGTGTGTTTGTTATTTATATATTGATGTATAATTTTTTCATTTTATTCTGCACGTGTATCTATGTAATTTTTATGTATGTATTGTATGGATGTATGTTTGTATATAGTCGATTAATCCATTAATTAATTATAAGGTTATTGCTACAAGAGATTCATCGCAATTCGTGGTTGTGTGGTCAGTGGTGAATGCACTTCCTTTATGTTTCTGTTTCTGCTTTTGTTTTTGCTTAATTAATTTTATTATTCGAAGTTAGAAGTCTATCGTTTCGTGTAACCGTTGGAAACACAGCCATGACGCTTATGCAATGCATGGCTGGAACGGTCGCACACTGGTATCGTCAATTGGTTAAAATATAGCTACATATGTAATGCATGTAAGTAATTCATGGTTTAGTTTTTGCTTTCTTTTTTATAAATTTTTCTCCCACACTATATACTTTTCAAACATTTCTAGTATGTAATTATACAAAAAGTACGGCAACTATATTTTTTTCCAATTAAATTTTAGCTGCGTTGTGAGCATCAACTTTCATCTCATTTTCAGTGCATTTCGCACAAATTTTCATGGCCGAAGTCATTGAATTATCATAGGTATACAAGTAAATTACGAATAAATTAAAACTTAACAAATACAGTTACAATAGTTACACTCATATACAATACAAATAGTTTAAATTTAATAATTTTATTTTATTTTGTTTCATTTTACATTTTTTTTACTAACCTTTGCGTTTACTACAATGCTTGTTTGTGATTTTTCGGTTTGTTTTTTTTTTTTGGAAAATTTCTTACTAGTTGCATATGCATAATGAATATTTTTTCAACTAATACAGTTATGTTATATGATGTAAACGTAAAAATTTTTAAGAGTATTCGTAGTATTCGATATACATACGTATAGATAATTCGTTAATTTTACCCACGTCAACTATGCGTTTAAGCTGTTAAATTGCAGTTTTTAACAAAACACAAAATTCAAAATTGTGTATAGTAAACAAGCTGCATTTTGCTACTTATTGCAAGTCCAAATGAGTTGTATTGAAAATTCATGAATTTGTAAACACTTATTTGCATAGCTGCCTTTCTTTTGCAATACTCTTCCATTTAACTACTAATTACTTAAATGTGACTCAAAATAAATGAATTGTTATATCTGCGTTAACGCTTTTTTTTCAAATGTAATGAGTATATTAAAATATTTACTGGGCTTATATTTGACGCCGTATTAAATTTTTAAGGAAAATATTAGCCAAATTGAAGCGTTTAGTTAACGGTCTCAACCAGCAGGCAGCCTATATATACACATTTAAATCGTTGCTTAAAAGTATATACTTAAAATTTTACTACATTTGCGCGTTTGGTTATGTTCTCGCACACCATTCGTTAGACATAAACATAGAAAATATGTACTTAAGAAATATTGCACAACGAAAATAAACATGTAAAGTATACATATAAAAATGCAAATATGTAATGTATGTACGTACGTGTGTGTATATATAATGATGATGTATGTTTGTTGTATGGATATAAATTCTTAAATACTGGGCACAGGTTTATCGGTCGTTGATTTACGTCATTTCAGCATCTGTCTCGCCACAATTCAATACGATTGGAAAAATTCTTTTCTTGTTAAGATTAAGCTACAAATTTTGGTTTGTGTTTTCACAAAATGTCGCCAATTGTTGTTAATTGTTAATCGAGTTTTTTAGTAGTAGCGGTAAACCAGTTTTAGTTTTTGATTTCGAAACAAGTATGGTTGCAGTCTTGCCAGTGGCGGTGGCGTTAGCGGTCACTTTATTAGGCGATACCACAGCTGATGCGGCGGCAGAAACGGATGCTGCGCCAGCACCAACAGCGCCAATATTTGCTGTCACTGTATTTGTAGTTATAGTCAATGGTGCTGTACAACCGGTTGCAACCAAGTGTTGCAAGTTAGTAGCTGCTGCTGCTGCCGTGGCTTGCGTTGTACTTCTGCTTGTTGCAGCTTGCGTCTGTTGTCGTTGATGTAGCTCTTGTAGTAGTACTGAGTGTTTATTCATTGCACGTAATACTTGTGGTCGTATGATTTTATCACTACCACCTGGTTGATGCAACTGCTGCTGGTGCAGCTGCTGTTGTTGGTGATTTATTTTACTGCTATTGTAAAATTGTTGTGCGTCATCACATTGTTCGTTGAAAGATTGCAATTGTGAGTGAATTGATGTAACATTGGAGAGAGTGCTTTCTGTGTCACCACCGACGCCGATGCCGCCACCGCCACCTGCACTGCTACCTCCTGTACTTGAGGCACCAACGTATTTTCTGATGGTGATCGTTTGCTGATGTTGTAACTGTTGCTCTACACCTGAAACCTTAAAAAGAAATCAAAAAATATTTATCAAGTGACATGATTGGCGTACATGCTTAGGAGATAGTTTTAAACACTAGAAAGAAAAACTCGATGCACGACAAATTCTGGAGTTACAATCAAATTTCCGACCAACTCTTACCTTTTTATAGTAGCCAAAATCTTTATCTCAAGTGCTTTTTGCTGGATGAATAATATTTTCCATGTCTTTTTGTACACTAAACAATTCCGTTATGTGCTTGGAAAATAGTGCATTCAACTCGCTTAGCTTCGTCATTTGCTAAAATATAATTTGTTGGTTTTATAAATTTACTCATTATAACATTGGCTATTACTTACATTGTGGTCAAGGCTTTTATCGCGTAAGCTCATATTTGCGGCTTTTAATTCAATTTCTTGGCTCATTAATTCATTCTCCAAAGATTCGATGCGTCCTTTCAATAAACCGATTTCACGCCGTAAATCTTCTGCTATTTCTCCGCCACCTGAAGCGCCAGCGATTACACTTCCACCACCACCAACTCGAACAACATCCAATTCACGTTTTAATCGTATATTTTCTTCCTTGTAAGTATGCAGTTGACGCTTCCACTCGTCTACATTGGCGGTGGATTCCTATAATTAATGAAATGCATGTAAATAAACTAATAGACGTCGATTTCAAGAGCTACAAAGTACCTGCAATGCACTGGTCAGGCGTATATTGTTGTTTTTCAACGTTGCCAGTTCGATTTCCCACTTTTTAGCGTTGGCGCAGCTGGTGTGAAATTTTTAAAACAAAGAAAAAAAAATTATCGGTGAGATTTTTTTTTTTTTGGTTGCAATTATTGTTTTACCTTTGAGCTAGTGCCATTTTAAGTCGTTCATTCTCGTATTTAAGTTGCTGTTCCCCAGTAGCACCAGCACTTCCTCCTGTATGCACACCTACAATACTGCCACTGGAGGATACTGTCACCGCCGTGGGTGCAGGCGATGGTGAGGCACCTGCAGCAATCTCTTGTTTCGACTCCGCTGCAGGCAGCAGCTTATGCGATGGACTATCTGGATTTGCATTTTGCGTATTCGTATTGGACATGTTGGGTGGTTCTACAGTATGCGGATCGATGGCGGTATTATCGTTCTGTTGCATACGCGACGAAATAGGTGATGTATTAGCTGACGTGGTTGGCGTAACGGCGGTGGAACCTGTAACAAGTGCAAAACGGAGTGGCTCAAATTGCCCGCAATCATCTACTAGATTTACGCAAACATACCATTTGCTGCCTTTATTGCATTTTTGGTTGCCTCTTTGACTTCCTGGAACTTTTCCACAAACTAAAAATATGTGTACGAACAGGTTTTTAAGCATGAAATAAACCGTTTAAGTTGTACATTTGTACCTTTGTCAGTTCAGCTTCGGATGCGAAACCCAGGCCGTAAACCGTATTGGCACGAACATCACTCCACTGTCCAAACTTCTGTGATGTCTGAGTAAACGTCATATTAGGCGTTATTGTTGAATTAATAACGGCCTTTGTGCCTTCCACACTGATAATGCGGTACAGGTTTCGGGACGAGTCGTAGAAGAAACTTACATTGACCGCTTTCATACTGGCTGTAATCCATGTACGCTTCGTCTTCGGATCAATGTGGAAGACATGAGCCTGGCAGGTGAAAATCGGTTGCTCGCTGGATGATGAAAACGTATTATGCTATCAACATTGTTTACTTTCAACACAAAAATACCTTCGCATATACTAAACTTATAGTTACTCACTTAAAAATTCTATTACTATATTATTAGCTAAGTAGCCACTAATCGCACATTAAAAATCTCGTGTGTGCATATATTAAAGTAACTTCATCAACTCTTCACATGTAGCCATGAAATCCAAAAGCAACTTTGCGGTTTAGGGACTTAATTTATGTCCTTGCCATTAATAGCGCTCCTGTAGTGTAGCTTACATATTAAAATAAAAATAGGAAATCCCAAAGCGACTCCCGCCCCTTCATAAACGTCTGCCGTATTTCGGGGCTCACAAACGTGAACTTACTGCAAATATCGGTTTTATTAGCCAAAGGCCTTATTTGCTGGAAATTAATTATGTGTACGTGTGGCGCGCATAAAATTATAGAATTTTCTCAATTTTTTCCATATTAATTTGAGGTCTGGCTTGGCCGAATTCGGCATTCTACGGGTGGGGACACTTACAAAAGCAGCAAATAGCACCCACTTACAAGTTGGTTTTAAACTATTCTACTTAAAGGCACTTTTAATTTCCATATAAATACCTATAAGTCGCATCAATAATTTTACAATATTTACCCCATTTTCTTTGTTTGGTCGTGAAAACTGCGGCTTTTTCAACTTTTTGCGAAAATTTTTTCGGTTTCGATTTTTCCAATTATTCTAGTGTTGGTGTCAAACAATTACTGCGCTACCAGATCGTCGATAGTATACAACTGTTATAATAGTCTTGTGTGTTCGTTTTTTATCGATAAATTTTCGCTACCCAATATGGGAAAATAGCCAAAACTATTTTTTTATTTTCCCTTAAAATAAAAATGTAAAAAGTCTGTTCAACTCGCCGCCATGAATATTGGGTAGTCGGTAGGTAGTAAAAAGATAATTTTACAAAACCAAAGGAAGATGTTCCGAATATCGTCGATTAGTATGAGACTGGTACCAAAGAACGTAAATCTATAAGAAGAGTTGTCTCTTCTTATAAATTTACGTTCTTTGCTGGTACAAATGAAGCATGATACCTCGCATCTTTCTAATTCGAAAGATCAAAGAACAACAACCGACTACAGGGCTCCTCAGGGAAGCTTCTTCAAAATAGGGGAAAAATCGTTCATTTCGCTAACAAAATGACTGCAGTTCAAAAACTCACTTCGGATCATAACTCTAAACGAACACAATTCTCCTTTCGGGAAGATTACGATAACCGTAACGACAAATTTTGACTGTGTCATTGGAAAACTGGGCTCATTCGCTCTTCAAATATACCCACTTTCAGGTTTCGGGGCCTTCTAGTTTTATAGATATTTAGTGTTGAATGTTATTTTTTTGATTTTTTTTTAATATTAATATTTTAAAATTGGTTCATGCTCTTCGCACTCAGAAAAACCCTGCAAAAATCGCGACTACTCCATGCATGCGTGTAAAGAGTACTCCCTAAGGACCAAAGAGTACTCCAAAATTAACCACAATTCATATAAAAAATATGGTCCAATTAACATTGCGATGTCCTAGGGCAGGACCATATACTCCATCCCTGCATTACATCAGGGTAGCACAAAACTACTCCAACATATTAACAATGGCATTGTTGTTATATTTTTTCGTTTGTACAGCTTTCACTTCTCAAATGCTTTTTCGAAATTAATAAAAACCAAGACAAAAATTAAAAATTACATGTTGCTTCTGACGGCATTCGAACCCGAACATGCTGGGAGCTAAAAACTAACAGTGAGCATCTCTACACGTTCAACTACAGCCAGATATGCAAATGTGCTTTCAAATGCTCAACTTCAATCATGTTTCGTTAAAACACGAGCAGTGATCGGATAACAAACAATAAGCTGGCGCAGAGACAGGAGTTGGTCCGCTACAGCATGACAGCGGAACACTTTTGTAAGTACTCCCATTTACCACAAATAGACTACATGGTCCAACGGCTTTTGCAGGGAAATACCAGTTTTATAGATAAATTTTCCGATAAGAATTAGAGATGTCAGCGATTTATTCGAAATAGGGAATTTAAATGATTTAAACTTCACAGGCGATTAGTTGAATGAAAAGTTGAACGGAATTAGGAAGCCGGCCAAGTTCATTTAAAGCGGTTAGTTGAAAGGCATTTAACACCAGGCGATTGTTGCTTTCAACTAAAATTTTGCCTGAAAAATCACCTCATGTAAATTCCCTATAATTCGCATAGTTATAGGATCTGAGTTACCAACAAATGAGGTAATTCGATCTCAAGATTTTTGTTTGGCAAATTACGTAACTCGAAGTGAAATTGGAGAGCGCATTAAGAATGAGAGAGCGATCTTCATCCGGATTCCAGCATCCGCTATCGCTTGTCCCAAAAGAATAGCTGGCGCGCCTAATAACATGCAACCACTAGTTACATGCCCCTCATATTGCCAGCTTACACATTGCATCTGTTACTTTTCCAAGCTGCCCCAAAGCGGCCCCACTAAATTTTCATTTAGAGAATTTTGGCGATGGAAATTTATGTCAGCGATTGTCACAATTCCGCTGCTGACATAATTGGTTCACGTTTTCACATTACTCGGTATGACATCTGATCGGCAATTTTTCCATGGTACTTTCGGTTTACCGAAATGATTCGGTGTTGCGCTGATCTGCACACTTGTGGCACTTGTAGGATACTTTTGGTATGTAATTTGTAGAAAAACGTTAAAAAAAAGCCGCAGCGCACGAAACTAAATTTTAAAATTCCATAAATCATTTAACAAAAATATCCCCTGGCGAAACCAAACGCGTTATAGCTTTTAATTCATTTAATTCATTTCTTACTTTCTTCTTCTTGTTTTTTGTACGTTGTAAAAATGTGTGCAGAAAATTTTCATATTTTACTGACCGGTCTTACTGCAGTGCGTTAAGCCGTAATGAATCCGCTCCGATTTCGTATATGCAACACTAATGTGAAAATCCCAATTGAAGTATGTTCATATGATCAATATACTTACGGAAAAAACCAAAAATGTCGATCCGATATCGTACCGAGTAATGTGAACGCGCTCTAACTAATCAGAATATTCGTAACAGTGGCTACACACGACGAACATATCCGCGCACATGTGCGCCAACATGCTGGCTGTCGTTTGCTACAGACGGCGAGCGGCTCATAAGTGATTTTGTACTCAAAGCGTAAACATGGAATGGAAAGACGCGGATGATGCAATTGAAATACTTATGACTTAGGGTTTTTTATGTATGTGTTACTTAAATTTATTTATATTTTACTTATATGTATGTACATACATATACATATAGTAATTTAGCCTCATTTATCAAAAATTCAATTAACGCACATGGCTTGGATGCATTTATCCGCGATGTGCACACTGCAAGCATCAACACAAAGTGAGGTTGTTGTTTTTGTTTCCAATGCGATGCTCGCAAACCACGCTACAAACGACGGGCATGCTCGTTGAAAATCAAAATTTTTTTATTTTTGGCGAGCACGCTCGCAAACCGCCCTACAAACGACGAACATGACCCGCAAGCCGCGCATGTGCGCGGATATGCTCGTCGTGTGTAGCCACTGTAACCCAACCCTAATCAAAATATCGACTTACCAAGTACCAAACTCGATGTGATGACCACTAGAATAAATTGCACATATCTGTTAATTTGGTATCGATAACGATTTTCCAATAATCTTTTGGAAGTGACATTGATTATCACATTCTTATTGGAACGACAGAGTTATCAATGAGTTGTAGTAAACAGTGTTGCAAACAAACTTGAAATATGTAAACAAATTGTTTTTGAGTGAAAACTCTAACGATAACAGAATGATCTTTGTTTGCGCGTATATATAAACAGATCGTGAACTGAAGATATGATAGACATATACATTAGCAGCAGTTTTTTGTTTAAAATATCATAACTTTTTCATTTTTGACACTTACGTTTCAATGGCATGCAACCCTGCATTGGCATGATGTTGCAACACTGATGTGTACTGTGTGTACCCATTTGTCAATTTTTCGCAACGGCACAGCAGCGATAGCGACGGTGGTTCTTATACAATTTTTAATGTTAATTCTAGCAATAAATCTTGCAAGAAAATAGTTGGAAAACTGTGAAAAACGTGCAAACGCTGCTTGCTATAAGCGCAAAAAGTTCCATGCAGCGAGGGAAACGTTCAGATCGGGCAAGTTGAAGCATTAGCGGTAGCTACACACAACTGCTACCTACACACATATGACATGGGCTTGCTGATAGGAATTTTTGGGCTTGGACCAATTTGTTGCCAGCAGCCGCTATTAAGATGTCCAATTGATTTAGTTAACGAATTTAAACATTATTTTGCTTAGGTCGCTAAGGACATAAATGGCTGAAAGATTTTATAGTAAATCTGCACAGGCTTTACAACGCCCTTGTATGTAGGCGATTAAGGGATGCTCATGCTTGTTATCTATGACAGTAGAAACTTCCAATAGGAAATGACGGTAGGGGAATGGTGATGATTATTGTATCGATGGTGCAGGAGCAAATATTTCTTCATTTGTATGAAATGTATTGAAAATGTGTCAGTTTGCAATTGCGACAAAATTGCAAGATATCGAAATTTGTAAAGAAAAGAAATGGGCGTAGTGCCAATCTTGCAGTTTGACTAGTATATGCTAATTGGAGAGAGTCTATGTTGCTAAAAACTCGCTATGCGTAAAATATGTTGCATTGCAAATAAAGTGCATACATTAGAAAATATATTAGCACCTACCTACATCATATGTAATATGCACATTTATTATTACATATGATGTATATATATATTTATGCAATGAGGAATTCTGTAAGCCTCTCGCTATCAGTGATATCAAAAGTATTTGGTCACTTTACCATGACGTCAACAGAATTCTATCGTTATGAAAGTTTTTGTTGTAGTTGGCATAATTATTGCAGGCTATTATAGTGCAGCATAGTTTAATGACCTGAATTCAAGACTAATGTAGGGATCGTAACTCCTTTAGCTACTTTACAATTTAAATTTAATGCCTTTCACTCGTATTCAATAACGTCTACAGCTTTTTTGCGTGTGAGTGAGAAATTAAAATGTGGAATATGATGTGCGACGTAATGCCAACTATTTCGGAGGATAGCATCTCCCAGCGATCCTCACAATTTAGCGGCGAAGATGCCAATTTCGAGCAGCTAATGGTGTCCATGTTGGACGAACGTGACAAATTAATGGACAGTTTGCGTGAGGCACAGGAGAGGCTCAGTGAATCGGAAGTAAAATTGCATGATGTGGAAAAAGAGCGTGACAGCTTACAGCGGCAGATAAATGCCAATTTACCTCAAGTAAGGAAAATTTAGTAAAATGTATTAAACGAAATTAATTCAATACCTACAATTTCAGGAATTCGCAACTTTAACTAAGGAACTTACACAGGCGCGCGAAACGCTGCTTGAGCGTGATGAAGAAATAGGCGAGCTGAAGGCTGAACGGAACAATACACGGGTAAAACCCCTTAAATTAAAAAAAAAAATAATAATAAAAATGCTTTCAAAAAATTAATAAATTTTAAATACATATGTATGTACATAAATATTAAATATTGGTAGTAACAAAATCCTGTGCTCTTACCTTCAGTTACTTCTGGAGCACTTGGAATGTTTGGTGGCGCGACACGAACGTTCTTTGCGCATGACGGTCGTGAAACGGCAGGCAGCTGCTCAAAGCGGCGTATCCAGTGAAGTAGAAGTACTAAAAGCATTAAAGAGTCTATTTGAACATCATAAAGCGTTGGATGAAAAAGTGCGTGAACGTCTGCGCTTATCAATCGAAAAGAATAATTCACTCGAAGAGGAATTAAACGCAACCAAAGAAGAGGTGAATGCATTTTCAGCAGCAACTATATTATATGTTATACATTTTTATACGTTTAGCTTCAGCAATATAAAACTGGTGCAATACAAGCCAATCGTGATGCTAGCAATGAGAATGGTGTGAATGAGAGGGTATTGCTTTAAGTTTTTACTCAAAGCGTTTCGTAACTAATTTTTGCTTTCCACATTTCAATAGGCCGGTAGCGGTCTGAATGGCGATTCGAATGAAGCAAACGATTATGCTGCAAAAACGCATGAGCTGCAAACAATAATCGAAAAACAAGTAAGGCGATTTTAAATAATTTGGGAAATAGTATAGTTTTAAACCCCATTCCTCATCCCACAGACCGCGGAACTATCGCAATGGCAACGGCGAGTTTCAGATTTGAACAACAAAATTTGCGAATTGGAGGAGAATTTAAGTAGAACTCAAAAAGAATTGTGCAAGTCGCAGGAGCAATGTTCGAAATTGCAAAGAGATTTGCGAGAAAATGTTGCACAGAAGGAAGATCAGGTATGTGAAATGTCTTGACCGTGTTATCCATCAAATATTCCTGTCTCACTGAAAACCAATTTTTAAACACTTACAGGAAGAACGTATCGCTACCCTGGAGAAACGGTACTTGAACGCTCAACGTGAATCGACGTCATTGCATGATTTGAATGAGAAGCTGGAGCAAGAATTGCGCCATAAAGAAGCACAAATTAAGGTGAGACATCGATTTTGGTAAATCAAGTAATTTTAAGAACTTCATTATATTCTCGTTGCAGTTACATGAAGAGAAGATTTGCGCAATCGAAGAAAAATTGGAGTTGTCTGAACAAAAGTTAGCTCAGCAGGCAAAATTACAGCCTGACATGGAAGAGCAACTTAAAGCTCGCATGGAAGCTTTGACAAAGGTAGGAAATAAGGTATGCGCGATTGAATTACTTACAAATGTGCTGTGATGTGTAGTATGTATGTAGCTGCGTTTGTTTGTTTGTGTGATTTTAGCATAAAAAGTATGTTTGTTAGTAGAATCCAAAAATTTTAATTTGTATCCTCTTCTGCCCGTCATTTATGTAGTTGCACTATTTAAAACTTGTCGCTTACAATTAATTCGTGCTTTACATTTTTACATAATTTTAAACACAGGCACAGGAACGCCATGGTTCAGCAGAAGATCGCATACAGCGTCTAGAGGCCAATTTGGACGAGAAGAACGCAGAGGTTTTAAGACTGAACCAAAGATTAAAAATGAACGAAGAGCACAATTTAAGGTTGTCGTCCACTGTGGACAAACTGCTTTCCGAATCGAACGAGCGGTTGCAAGTACATTTGAAAGAGCGTATGCATGCACTAGACGAGAAGAATACACTTTCACAAGAGTTGGAGAAGGCGCGTAAAATGGCTGAGGAATTACACCATCAGAAGGGTGAAATTATGAAGGAATTATCGAAGACACGCCTGGAAATTGAGAATTTCAAGCGCCAGCTTTTGCAGCAAGAGATTGCCTATAATATACAGCAAACGGAAGCATTAACACGCAGTCTATCGCCAAGCAGCGTGGTCGACGGCGGTGCCTTCTCGCGCAGCACCTCGCATGCCAGTTTCGATACGCATTCGTTGCGGCGTAGCAAATCGCGCATGCAAGAAGAGGCGAACATAGCACGTTCTATGGCCGAGCAGGAATGGGAAAATCTGCAACAGGCACACGCCCAACAAGCGTACGAAATGTCTGCCGCGGTAGCGGCTGCAGCAGCTGTCGAATGCGAAGATAGCGAGGCTGCGGCGGCTGCTGCTATGTTTGCCGCCTCCGATATAATGTCCCCATCTGGGCATGCGGACGCTCAAACACTCGCCATGATGTTGCAAGAGCAATTGGATGCCATTAATAATGAGATTCGTTTGATACAAGAGGAGAAACAATCAACAGAGGCGCGCGCGGAAGAGTTGGAATCACGTGTGGGTAGTTTGGAACATGTAAATTTGTTGGCGCGCGGCCGATCAATGGATCGTCAAAGTCCACCTATGAGTGGGCGTAGCACACCGAATAGCCCAAATAGAGATTTCTTACAGAAGTATCATACGGTGAGTTTTCCAAGGAAAAATTAAGTATAAAAGGTGGTAAACTTTATTTTTTGTTTTGTAGTTAAATCTGCCTGTTTTGTCGAGCGATATGTCGCGCGATGATATTCATGGCATGTCTGCTGCTGGCGATTCGAGTTCAGGCGGTGCCGCATCGCCACTCACCGCTAGATCGATGCGACTTGAGCGTGTTGCGCAGGCGTTGGCACACAGCCAAGAGGAATTACGACGACGTTCGGTGGGCATATCACCAAATCACGGTGTCGATCACTCAAGGTATGCCATTGCCTGCGAACTATTTCTTTTCTTTTATTTAATTGAAACTTTTGTATTTTATTAAAGTCATGTGGCCTTGCCACAACTTAGTAACTACGGCCTTTCGCCGTTAAGTTCGCGTTATGGCAGTCAGGAATCGCTGAGTCGTCACTACAATACAATGGGCTCAATGACAATGCTGCAAACACCTACCACCAGTGTGGGACGTGACGTCGCTTCAGCGGTGCAAAAGAAAAAGGGTATCAAATCGAGTTTAGGCCGATTTTTCAGCAAGAAAGATAAAGTGAAAGGTGTTAAAGATACGCTGCCTGATGGTTCGACCAGCATGATGTCCATTGGCAATTTGTCGATTGGTCTAAGTGAAGGTGAATCGAATTATGATGTAATGAGCGTAACTGGTGGTATGGTGCCGCGCATGAGTAGCATGCCAGGATCGAAAATTTCCTCAGTGGATTATGGAAGGCAGAAAAAGTAAGTAGACTTGGGATAGTATATAAAAGTAATGCAAATTTTGTTTAACTATATCTTATATTTTATTTTTTTACTTAAGGGATCACGACTATAGAAATGATTTACTTGGTGAAGCGATGAAAGCCGGCACACCGTTTGCTTTATGGAATGGTCCCACCATTGTTGCCTGGCTGGAGCTGTGGGTTGGCATGCCAGCATGGTATGTTGCAGCTTGTAGAGCAAATGTTAAATCGGGTGCCATTATGAGTGCATTGAGTGACACGGAAATACAGCGGGAAATAGGTATGTTGCATTTAAAAAAAAAATATATATATACGATTTTTTTCGATCTAAATATGTGGAATTGGTTTGTAATTTTTTGCAGGCATTAGCAATCCACTGCATAGACTTAAACTTCGCCTTGCCATACAAGAAATGGTTTCATTAACTTCGCCATCAGCGCCTCAAACGTCACGTACAACATTGGCTTTTGGTAAGTAAAATTTTGGAAAAAATATTTCGTTTTGATTTGATATTCGGGAAGTGGAAATTGGTGTCATTGGCCTGTGAGCTGAGATCAGCCCTCAGCTAAATTACCGCTATCAGAACAAAATCGTGGTCCAAAGTGACATTTAAGCCGCAATAAGTAAAAACTAGTCTTTCAGTGTTACACATTAAAATATATATAAAACTGCACACTTAGAATATTTCTGAAAAAATCTGAATAGAAAGTTGCAAATTAGTATGCAAATTGATTGAAGTTTTCTGAGTTTTGCACAAAGTTTAGAGATTTATATATATGTTTTTTGCTGTTGTATGAACTATATACTATATAAAAAGATTATCGAAACGAAATTAGAATAAACAACTTTTCATATATTACAAAAAAAAAAATCACTGTGTCAATACTTTTGTTCGTCGCTGTATGTATACTATAAAAAATCTGGGTTTAATTTCATCTCCTATCGTACAGCCTTTGGTTTAAAGCTATAGAAAAAAATTTAATTATATCTTAAAAGAAAAAAATATTATTTCAGGTGACATGAATCACGAATGGATCGGCAATTATTGGTTGCCTGGTCTGGGCCTCCCGCAATATCGTACCACGTTCATGGAATGTTTGGTAGATGCGCGCATGTTAGATCATCTAACGAAAAAAGATTTGCGCGGTCAACTTAAAATGGTGGATAGTTTCCATCGTACTAGTCTGCAATATGGAATTTCGTGTTTGAAGAGGCTCAACTATGATCGCAGTGAGTTAGAGCATAGACGTAAAATGTCGGAAAACGGGCTCTGCGATGTGCTAGTGTGGAGCAACGATCGCGTTATACGCTGGGTATGCAGCATTGGATTAAAGGTTAGACCTTTTTTGCATACTGGACTTTGAAATTAGTCGCAACTTTTATGCTTTGTTTTATAGGAATATGCAAATAATTTACTTGAGTCAGGCGTACATGGCGCCCTTGTTGCATTAGATGAGGGTTTTGATTCTAATGCGATGGCATTGGCCTTACAAATACCAACGCAAAACGCACAAGTAAGTTTTTGCCAACATTTTTCTTTTTTTTGTCGATGCGAGTCGCCCTTTTACTTCTTTCGTTGTTTTTTTTTATTCAAGGCACGTCACAATTTAGATCAAGAGTTCAATAATTTGCTGCAAATCGCCACAGATCGAAGGCTCGAAAATGAACAGCATAGTAATTCTTGATCCGCCTACGGTATCACGGCCGACATGGCTGAGGAATAAAATAGTAAATTCAACACAGTATAAGCAGCAGCGACTGCAATGCCGCTCACTAGTAAGCCACATGCAATGCAACAAACAGTCACTAATCGCCCTACATAAACACTTGATGAATGAGCGCGTGTGCTAGCAAACATACATGCACACACAGATGCGTACATACTTAGATGAGCGCTGCCGCATGGCGCTTGCTAAACGTAAATGTGTAAACAAAAGAACAATATCCAGTATAGTAAATTACCGAATTTCATACATCTACATATACAAATCAGTTGATAAAGTCTCATGTGTTGCAATGATATGCCGTGATCCAGTTGTGTGTACGCTAAATGTTTTTTGGTAATCATATTTCCTTTTTTATTAAGCGTCTCAAATCTAAACAGAAAAACAGAACATTCATACATATACTTACAAATAAGTATTCTAACGAAATTCATATACAAACATATAACCATATTAAGAGGCACAATGTAAAGAAAGCGAAAACGGTAAAGAAAAGTAAGTGGAAATCTTGTGGTCAATGCTAAAGTAAAAAGCCGAGTGCAGTCCGGGCCCAATAACAGGTATATGCGGACAAGACATAACTATAAATTACTTAAATACAAACACACATACACTAACACATATGATACATGATTGCTTGAAATGTTTTGCCACTTTGCAAGCAAAAAAGATCAAGTTCAATGCATGCATAATAACGAGCTCAAAATCATTTTTTACTTATATACATTTTATTATGTTCAATTTGCATTGAAGAGTTCAAAAACAATATTAAGTATAACAGCGTTAACATTTTTTACAACGGTTATTTAATTCCTATTCCAATTTTTACTGCCTGAATAATAATTAAAACCTTTTTTTTTCATATTTTCTAAGTTTAAAAAGTAAAACACTAATGGCCTTATTCATAAAATGTAAAGTATTAATGAAATGCTTTATAATATAACATATCCATAAAACTGTTTATTTATAAAGCATTTTAAAAGAATACAATTTTTTATTTATTTGGCCGTTGCAGTGTTGAAAAGTGTATACATATGTCAAAAATGTATGTATTTGTTAAAACCACTCCAACTTCAGCTTAAACTTTTCTCTCAACTAGCATGCGCTATTTTCTGCCTTGTAGACTCACTTTATTGCAGCGACGGCTAGAGAGAGCTTTTAAGCTGCGCGCGCTCATATGAAATCTATAGGAAGCTTGGGCATGAGCGTTGATGGGCACCGTGTTTCCAGCGTTACAAGCTTTCTATATATATATTTTATATAGACTTCTACAGACTAAAAGCGCGCTCTGCCAAATACAGATCATGAGTATTGATAGCGTTATTGTTTTGCTCTCCTTTTCTCTCTTTCTCTAAACACTTGCATGCTTGCTCAAGAAAATTCTTTTTTAAGTTAGTTAAATGGCCTTTTTCCCACATACATTCAATTTCATATAATCATTCGTTCCAATAAAAAAAAAAAACAGAAACAGTATTTTGCAGTTTTATAAGATAAAAATAAAGTGAAAGTGAAGAAAACAAAATTAAAACTAAACAATCCCACAAATAAATACTTACATAAGTAAGCGTCATATGCCAGCCTTCACAACCTTAGTGCCCATTCATACATTGCACTATCATAGAAATCCGTAAGAGCAGAGCTCCAAAACTGAAAACCCTCGTGTGGATTCCTACTCGAAAAATTTGTATCAGTGTTGGCCATGGAACGCTTTTACGCTATCAAATGTATGCCTATAAAGCCTATGAAGTGGCCAACTCTGATTTAAAGCCTTAAAAACTTCAATTCCATGCCAAACGGTGGGGCAATACTTTAGAAATGTTGCAGAGATATTAGAGACGCCAGAACAAAAAAATTAAAAAATTTTGAAAGTTTTTGGAAAAAATGTTGACTAAAGGAAACAGATTTACCAGAAAGCTTGGAAGTTTTTAAACTTAAAATTTCGAGTAAATATTTTTTACGAAAAATTATAAATTTGAGAATATTTTTAACAGCGATTTTTGCGGTAAATTTTCCTAAGTTAATTTTTCCTGGTAATTATTATTTCTTTCAAAAACTAAAAAAAGTATAAAAAAATTCTAAAATTTAAAAAGCAATTTTGTGCTATCAAAAAGTTTTAAACATTTTTTTTTCTCTTACTATATTCCTGAATGATAAGAACTAATTGAAGTAAAAAGATCGCATTTCGATGCCCAATTTTTTATAATCAATTAAGATTGATTGGTCTTCGATTTAAAAGCCGCATCTACGAGCAATCCCGCAAATATTCGATCAAAATTCTTCGTAGGTATAATTGACGGAAAAATTTCCGACCTCGGTTTTCAATTTTTTAATCGATTAATGAATTCGATTATGAAGGACTCGATAATTATAACTTCGATTTGATCGATTTAGAAACGGCAGCGCTAATTTTTAGGCGTGTCGAACTGGTTACTTCAGCAGCATCCCTACAAATATTGGACCAAAATTCTTAATTTTTTTTCTAAGAAATCATTGCATGGGAAATATGTAGATTGCTGAAACGAACCGCAATAAATCGCAAGTCCGAAAATTTCATAAATCAAAATTAGATTTAATCAATTAACTGTGTTCGAGGACTTGTTAAAATGTATGAAACTGCCATTCTTCATTTTTAAACGAGTATAAATAATCGAATCATAAAAAAATATATGTAGATTAATCGATCTTCGAATTTATCGATTGAAAATCGGCGTCTCTATTCTATAAGAGCTATTTTACGTTGACTTTATTGCATCAGATTACTGCAATTAATTTTTTAGTAAAATTTATTTATTTTACAAAGTTATTCATTTGCTTAGCAAGAAAATCTGAAAACTCAGCAACTTGGTCTGATCAGTTTAGTGACTTTCGAAGTGTTCGAAGTTTTCTCCAGCTTGGAATTCAGTTTAATGGCTATCGCTATAGAGATTTTTGCTCTCTGTGCTTTCTTTTTATATATTAAAAATTTTCTTTCGTCATAAATAACTTCAAAAACGGCAGAATTATTAAATTTCCACTACTCGTTTAGAGGCATACTGAATACAGGTAATTTTATTTTTTTTTGCAGATTTTCATTATACATATTGCATTAGTAAATTACCACTTTTCTTTTATGACTTATGGTCTTATTATGCATACATCGCACAACTTCGCATAAACTTCAAACTGTAATTTCGTATGTACTTTGTATGTATTCCATTGCCCAGAAATTAGCAGAACTTTTAAAAATTTAGCGATCTGTTGAGTTTAGATTTCGCTTCATTTTTTCTTAAGTTACATTTTTATGCACTGGTACAAATGGTTGTGCGCAGTTATGCGAAGTATGCATAATCAGACCTTTAGACAGAAACACACTTAAACGACCTCTACATATATAAATGGGGCATTCCACACTATTTCAATTCGTGAAAAACTACTTTTGCTCGATTTTCGGATATATTGCAGAGGAGGTCCTAAAGTGTTTGTAAACGCAAAAAAAAAACAAAAACATTTTTTTTTTTTCAAAAGTTATACAACAACAAAAATATTAGATGTCCTGCCGTAAGCCATTGTTGATCACATCATAACTCGATAAATATTAGTTGTAGCAAAAAAATCAATACGTACTTTTTTATTGACAAAGAGTCAGAGATTTATAAAAGATTTTTAATTTTTTTTAAGTCCACTTTTCTATACGTTTGTTAATGAACAATTTAGAAAGTTGCCAAGAAAAACATGTTTGCAGATTTCTAAAAACCTGCAAAAAATATATGTGATAGAGTGAATATTAATAATTCTAAATTGTTCATTAACAAACGTATGGAAAAGTGGACTTAAAAAAAAAAAATTTTAAATCTTTTATAAATCTCTAACTCTTTGTCAATAAAAAAGTACTAATTGATTTTTTTGATACAACCAATATTTATTTATCGCGATATGATGTGGAAAACAATGGCTTACGGCGGGACACCTAATATTTTTGTTATTGTATAACTTTTGTAAATTTTTTTTTTTTTACATTCCTCGCGTTTTGCCATATCTTAGAGGCATTTCTACATTATACTCAGTTTATATCAAAATCTAAAAAAAAAAATCATAATTTTCATTGAAATAGCATTGAAATGCCTCAAATACAAAACAAAGAATAATAGTCGAATTTAAAACGGAACTACATAACCGCATAGATCATGGTTCATTAAGGCCACGCATACCGACGCTTACAAAATACAAGAGAGGCAGAACACGCATAATGTACACATACACGAACAAAAAAAAAAAAACATACAAGCATATACATATTTAGATTCAGCAAAGGAAAATACGAAATTACAAAAAGTAATGAACACATGATTAAAACCAATGATCATTATTGGCTATTTAAGTATTAAAGGACAAAATTGCGCTAAAATAAAAAAAAAAAAAACATTCAAACATGCATATACATATTTAGATTCAGCAAAGGAAAATACGAAATTACAAAAAGTAATGAACACATGATTAAAACCAATGATCATTATTGGCTATTTAAGTATTAAAGGACAAAATTGCGCTAAAATAAAAAAAAAAAATAACAAAAAACAAAATAATAAAAAAAAACTAACACGAATAAAAATGTGCGAGAAAATAAAAGTTTAGCAAAAAGAAAAAAAAACCTATTGAAATTAAAAAGCTTTAAAGGCACTACTTAACTATAATTAATTGAAAAACAAAAACAAGCAAAAAATATTCATTCGTTTAATGTATTCCCTTAAAAAAAAAAAATACGCGTCATAAACAAAATATAGGCAAAACAAAAACTAGAAAAAATAAATAAATCGTTTCAAAATAAAATTGACGGGCGGGCGGGCATACGCATGCTAAATGATATAAACTATATAATTGAAAAATGTGCAGTATATGAACAATTTTATACAATATACAAGTAAACATACATACTATACATAAAAATTTTCATATTTATATACAAACAATAACTACATACATACATACAGTCGAAGAACAAGTCAAAGGGGGTGTTGGGGTGGGCAATCATGGCACAAATTGTAGGTATGTATGCATGTGTATGTATGTACATATGTATGTATGTATATATGTGTGTTAGAAACGTTAGCAAATACAATTTAATGTTTAAGTAACTTTCGAAAATGCTATTTGGATGCATACATAGGTATATACAATACACATTATGTATACATACATACGTATACTACTAACAGGCACTTGGATCATTCTGGATCATTTTTCTTTCATTTGATTTCCTTTTTTTGCTATTTAAATAAAATTCATTCTCTAACAGCAACTATATAAACGCAAGTTTCAAACTTGTAGTTGTAGAAAATTAAAAAAATGCATACAATTTTCATCAAAATATAAAATTTTTTTTGTTACATTTTTTTTTTTAAATTTTTTTGAGTATGCAGATTTGTATGAAAAAAAGCATAAAAAAGAGAATGGAAAAAATTGCGGGGTAGCGTCAGTAAAAAAATTCTTAAAAATCAACGCTAAAATGTAGCTATATACTTCAAACTTGCACTTTATTGTACTAAAATTGAATGGGCTAAAAAACTGCGAACTCAAAAAAGTTAGAAACTTTGATGGAAATTTTGATGATTTTTTTAACGTTCTACAAAGTTTGAAATTTGTGTTGATATGGTTTTTTGTTAGAGAATGAACCGTATTTTAATTGGTAAATAATGGAATTAAATAAGAGAAAATCATAAAAAAAAAAAAAAAACGAAAAATCATTGTCCCTATTCAAGTGTATATTTTAAGTAATCAAATTTAATTCAATTTATAGGCAATAGCAAAAACCACTGTTAATTAATTTACTTCAAATAGTTGAAATTTAAAGTATTCAAATATTCACTAACTAAATATTTCCATTCTCGTATATGTAGGTAAAGTCATACAACAATTCTAAACTAATTGTACGCGCTTACGACTTACTGTTCGTTAAGTCATCCATATTCTTGACTCTGCTGCAATTTTGTTACGTACGTAAGTGAAAATACTTCACACGCTGACTCACTGGCTACGGTACCCCTAAATTGTTATATGCAAATTGAAGATGGTTGTGGTTTTTGCTTGAAAATTACCTGTTTTTACTATCGGTTATAGTTTTTCTAATAAGAAAACTCGCTAATTCAACCATACGGGCCTACAAAATTAAGCGAAAATATTTTACCAGAAACCAGAGTACACTTTATCAAAGGTTTTCGACGTGTTGAAACCAAATCCGTGGTCATAGCTGCTCTGCCGGCTCAGGTTTCCGAGATATTTTAAACTTAAAATGCAAAAAACGTAATTTGGTCCTATATTTTAGGTTATATGCTACGTCGTGATTTCTTTTTTTCTAAAACTCGCAGGCGAAAAGTAATAAAAAACAAGTAAGAAAGTCTAAGTTCGGGCGGAGCCGAACATTAAATACCCGGCGCAAGTATTAAATATATGTTTTCCACCTTTCCGAAAGCTACCGCTACATGATAA